AAGATGCTTATAAGAAAGCCACTTTTTCGGCGCGCGCGCTGCGGTGTGCGTCGAGTCATAAGCCGACACCTTTCCGGAGAGGGGTCCGCGTTGATATTATGCAAAAACTCGTCGAGATGGCCGCACGAAATGGCTCCGAAAGTCACGCGTTTAATCGCCGCTTCTTTTTAAATTTAAAATTGCAATCTCGCTCGTTTTGCCACGGTCATAACTGGTAGGCTTTAAGCTGCGGAATAAAACAGAAGCTGCTCGAAATTGGCTAACTTTATAAGAAATAAAACACGAGAGGGGATATCTTAAGTTTTAATAAAAATGTATTCATATTCATGTAAACCCACGGACTGCAAAAAAATTTACATTCAGATCTTAAGATTCGGATATTTTCGGTTAGAATTTTAAAACGTAAACAATATTTCTAAGAAATATTCCAATGGCATTGAACTCTGAAAAGAGTCATGTGTCCTTGGATGTTAAAAAACTCTGCAATTATATTTACCCCTCAATTCTGCACGCAATAAACCAAAACCAATAGGTAATAAACTTAGCTTTAAAACGTCTAAAAAGGTTTACAATCTTTGCAGCAATCGAAGGACACGTTTTTATGACGCAGAAGGCTTGAATTCCTTTCTAGGAATACACTAGCAATAGTTTTTTGTGCGCCGTTTAAAGGGTACGCAGGCCGGCGTAAAAAAAGCGTTGACCTTGTTGTCCCTTGTAACAATCGGTGCGGTTTGTTTGTTGCGCCCATGTTGAGGCACCCGCATCGCCTTCTGACCACCGCACAACATGCACCGAGGATACCATGAGTCTCGCTACAAAAGGGCAAAAACATTTATAGCCGGAACGGATATTAAACATGACCTCGAAAATAATATCGGCGTTGCATCGATTGTTTCGGCCGTGTTTAGGGTTAGTGCTTGACCACACCAAGAGATTCAAGGGTCAACCAGAAGGGTGGGATGTACAGAAAGCTCGCCGGAGCAAAATTCCATTTAGTTAGATACTCACTGTGCTCACCTAAACGCTGAAAACACGAATTTTCCTCCGAATGAATGTAAACAACGCTTTAATAATGGTAATGTGCAATGTGTTTCGTTAAAAACTCGGATGTATGCGGAGGTGTATAATGTGCAGTGTGTGTATATAGAAGCAGTGTAATATAATATTCTAAATGTGTAATTAAATTAGGCTTAAAGTGACCATTAAACGAGCTCGCCGAAATGAATAGCTTAATATAAAATAATAAAACGCCTATAAAATAATAATCCGTGTGCAGTGTGTGTATATGTGTGCTGCAACAGCGAAGAGCCAGTAATGGCGCATTCCGACACATCCAGAATTGCGGCGTTTATTACGTCCGTGTGGACTGTTCGTACAGTTGTGTGCTGTTTGTGCGTCTTCGGCGCGCTCGTCCGATTTACATGGCGGAATAATAAACAGGCCATCAAACGCGTCAATAAAACTGACATTGATGCGATTTAGCGAATGCGAACGACGCTTCTTACGCGCATTATCGCCCATAATACACATATATCTATAACCTGGATGGCTTACTCAACCAAAACATTAATTTCTTCATTGTAAAATGTTAAATGTCTGATGAAATTCGACCGCAATGTGTGCGATATTGTCCTAGGTTCGAAATGTTTGATAGCCGTTGCATTGTATAACCAAATGTTACATTTATTGCGACTAACACACGACTAAACAGTAGTAAACATAAACAAGCCATAACTTTGATTTTTACTGCCAGTAAAAGCAATCGTAAACTCCAAAAAGCTCAAACATCCAACAAGCGCAACAATCCGACAAGTTTTGATTTCAACTGTTTGCTAAATTTAATTTTTTCCCTTCTAAAATCTAGAGTTTATCACGGTGTTATTCCGTGAGCGCGATACGCCACGATTTTGATCTCAATTATTCCCGAGTTCAGTCCCAATTACGGTCACGTTTTTCTTTCACATTGCAAGCCCAATAAGTTAACGTTTTTTTCACCTTACACATTACACGTTACCAACACGTAGTTACTCCGCCCGTTTCGACTCGCTTTCGTCATTTTTCATTAATCTTTCATACATAGTTTAACATCGCATAAGATTTTTGCTCCTCGTGCCTACAGCCGAGTGCCTATAGGAAAAACTTCACGATTTCCGATTGAAATCGCTGACATAAGTAAATGGCTAACTACCGATTACGTGCGCGGTAGTAAACTAAATATTATGCATCGCCTGCGCCCGGGATCGTGGCCGGCGTCGTGATAGCCGCATAGTTTACAACACGTACATGCATGTAAAGTGCGCATGCAGTCATGCGATGACCATGTCGCATGTTGCAGCCTGAGTACACGAAAATATCATATATAGAACCCTAGGTACCTACTGGCAAGCACATCGAAATATGTTGCATAAAATTACACACTGGTGCTTTACTACACCACAAGCTTACTATTCGTGGTTCTTATCGTATCAATTTTAACTCAATGTAATACCTATGAGGGTACGTTGGTATCAAATATCGTGATTTTAATATCTAAAATCAACAAAGAAAGAGAAAATTCAGTATCCGTCGGATCGGATGAAGCCGCTCGGCAGACTGCATCAAGGAAATTGTACGGTTTTGTAGTAATTTCGGGTTTATTTTGGGTTTTAAGACACGTTGGATAATTGTCAGAAAAATGGGCGCAGTGAGTTGAGGCAAAGTTTTAAAATAACGCCAATTTGGAGCTGTAAAAGTGAAGATAATGGGCGAATAAAGGCTGCGAGCGAGTGGAAACGACGCCATTTTAGTGTCGTGCAGACGTGCGCGCGTTTCAACTCTACCGTCGTACCCAGGCACAAACCCGTTTGCGTTGGGTTTACATTGTGTATAGTGTAGACATGGCAGACCAAAACTAACTCTACACTTTAAAAAATTAAGTTTTAGTTAAGTTTTAAATAAAAAATAGCAAATTTTTAGATACAAAAACTGCAAATTTGGTTATAACCGTTCTCAAACATGTATTTTCAATATTATGTTTGTTGACTATAGTATAGAAGAGATGGTTTTCCATGCAGGTGGTTAAAACGTTGTAAACATTTTTCTACTCATAGGGAAACCGAACAAGCTGGTTGAAGCAAATGCGGCCGTAACACTCTACGTTATGTTCCTGTTTATAGGCGCCCAAATAGCGCGTTTATAAACCCGGCAGCGTGGCGAGGAAGCAAAGGGCACCGTTTTCATTTCGTAGATTATTATTGCATCCCTTATTTCCACGTCTCCAACCGCACATTACTTATTGATGCTAGCGCAAAACGCGTAAATACCTAGGTATATCAATAACAAACGATAAATTTACCGCAGAGTGATTTTAAAGATATACACTGATGATGGTCGTAATTTGAGTCTGGTGTCGTTGATTATATCCGGCTACATCGAGAGTAATCAATGCGAACCACCGCGCCCCTGACTAAAATCATTCGGTAATAATCAGCCGTGTGCGCGGCGGCGGCTATTAAAGGCAATTATATCGAAATTACACTTCAGTTTTGTCTGCGCCGGTGCACACACATGCGACGCGCGCATGCAGGCCGCCATTACCATCGTGGATATGTGAGCTCGCGAGCATAATGCGATCGCAGGGCTTTAATTTACTCGGCGGCGCATGCAGCAGGGATTTTTACTGTTAGGCCAATTTTATGTAATTAACGTGCATTATTTTTGCACACACACTCACGCTAATATGAACAAAATTAATCGTTGGGTGCTTGCATGAAACATCAAGGCGTGGTGATGTCAAATTACCTCCACAATGAAAAATTATTCTCCGAAAATTAAAAATAGTTGAGAGGTATTTTTAACCTTTGAATTTATATTTATAACGCGTCACTTGGTCTTCAGTCAACGGGTGCTGGTGTAGAGTATGTTAGCACATTTTAGTTTGTCGACTTTTGCGTTTTACTTTCCGGCCAAACCGAGCGAGTCCTTGACTGGACTCACTGGCATCACGATTGAATTTATAAAGTGCGCCGTTTGTTGGCGCGTCGGCCGAAAAATTCGAGTGAAATCTCGCATGCGAACACGTCGGAACGCGTTTTGTTTTATGTATGAGTTCGTATCCAAAGCATGCGAGGGTCATGTGACGTGAGCACCACGCACTTTAAAATTATCTCGAGCGGCAGTCGAGGAGAGAGCCGCCGCTGAGCTTTTGAGCATTCTCAGCAAGCAGTGCACTGACCCATAATTTGATAAATTTCCAAGAATTCCTGCATCATACAAACATTTGACCTATTAGATAACTTTCTAAATAATATTCAGATGAATCAAAACTGTAATCTCCGAGTGATACTCGATAGTTACAATAATTATTACTTGATGCAGTAGTGTAATTGAAATTGAAAGAAAATTGCTCCCAAACTTGGTGCTGGATGCCTTCCCGAACGAGCTCTCGCCTTGTGCAGCAGCGTTGCTGCAGCTTGGGCGCACGCTTTAATATTATTGATCAATAAAACTGGCAGACTACGAGCTGTGCGGCGCAACGAGCGCGCCGGAAATCAGGAGCCGCTGCAGGAAAGCGCCGACAGAGGCGGCAACACTTGACCCACAAACTTATCCGACAAGGAGATCCGAGCTGGTTCGCTCGGGTGTTCGAAAGCGTAATGAGAATGAGGAATTTCGTGCCGCGGCGTCTCTCTGCCAGAATGCCAGCACCAGCTCCAAAACTTTCCAACTTCCAGCGTCGACAAAAACAAAAACAAGCTCGTCGCGCGTCGCCCGGAATCCCGGCCAAAGCTCTAGCGTCTTAAACTTTGCGGTCTCCAGAATGTGCAATATCAAAACGCCTCACGAGCATTCAGGCACGAATATATGCCTGCTGGCGCTTTGCTAGAGTTTTGCCTGTTTTGCAAACCTTGCAAGCTTATCACAAACAACTCGTAATTCACATCCACCTAACCTTCAGGACTACGCTTACTACAACTAAAACACCCAAATACGTCAAAAATATGTAAAACAAGTGAACTCACCCACAGAACGGCAAAATAAAGGCAAAGCAAAATGTAGCAGGCAATGTGTGTGTTGTTAGAGCAGCTTTGATTTTTGTTGCAGGTTATATTTTTAACGCGCGAAAGCGACATACATGCAAGCGATGCGACGCAGACTGGTTTGGTTAGTTTTCGGGCATGCTCTAGTAGTAGTAGGGGAACACGATGGCTGACGCAGGTCGCACTCCAGTCGTGCTGCATCAGGGACCCTTTGACATGTGTGCCATCAGTAAAAATGATCTGAATATCTACCAAAATAGTGAACTAACTCCTGGCGACTCCAGATTCAGCAAAGTTGTGTCTACTGCTTCAAAATCAAGGTAGGATTTTATTCCTTATACCTACTTTTTTTAACCGCAGCATGTGCTTGTCAAGTGTGCGTTGCGTGTTGGGAGCAAAATGCGCCGCGTCCCTAGCGGACCGACGCCGCGCCAAGCTACGCCACGCCCTACTCGGCGGCCATTAAGCTCTCCCTGCCGCATTGCATGCTGGGTAAGTACGTCGTGTTGCCGACGACAAAAACATTCGTCTATCTTTTTCTAACATACATATTCAACCCAAAACACAGCAAAAAAATAACAAAAACGAAGAAATTTTAAATGATCAAAGCTCAATTTCCGTTTTGTTTAGAAATTTACACTGTTATTACGACTGTCTCATTCATCAAGACGATGGGATGAGCTTGAAACTAGTTGCAAGCATGTACATGATGCAATTTACAACATTTAATTACAATCTAAATAGGATCTACGAGTTTATCTACTTCATGCAGTTCGTAAATCAACGCAGGAATTAAAATGTAAATTGAAAACTTATTTTTATATTTACTCAATTATATTACAAGATGTTTCAGTGATATGATGGCAAAACATTGCTTTACATCTTTACAATGCCAGGTTTATTTTCTTTTACACAAAATTGATTTTGAGCTAGCAGAGCGCTAAAAATCGAGCATTAATCATGTGCATTTGGTATTTCTGCGGTGTGGTCGAGCGTGCAATCGTAAATCGCGGACGTCATAAATCGTCCGCAGCTCCGAGCGTCGGTCTCCCGGATAAAGTCGGCATTGTGTGATTTAAGCTCGTTGAATTATGCAAGTCGCTGTGTGTGTAAATTTTGCTCGTTCTCATTGCTTTTGCGCTTTGCTCAGCGAAAGGAAATTTAACTTTCAAACAGTTTTCATGCATTCCGCGATTATTTACAGTTTCCCTCAACCTTCAAAGCTTCAAAATTGTGTAAACATATTTCAACGGTTTTTACTCTTTGTTGATGGGTAGAAGGTGTAAAACAATTATCGCTTTGTAGGTTTTGTAAGCACCTATAGAATGCGGTGAATGTGTTTGACAATCGGCGATTAAACGAGTGTAAACGACGTTAGAAAAACTCGGGCAATAATTGTTTACGTGCCGGCGCATTTCGCCAGAGTTAACTATACCGACGTGCAGCGACGCATATCGGTGGCAGTTATTTTTTTTCTGCCGCTGTTTTCCGTCCGGCTTCCTCTTGCGGAGGTGCCGATTTACCATGTTGTTTATTAAACGTGCCGCTGGCTGCCCTATCGGCACTATTGCCGTCGCGCGCGAAACGTCATGTACTTTCTTCGCGGCGCGCTTCTGTGCGACGCGCAAAGAGAAGAAACACTCGTCGCCGACGTGCAAGAAGTGCGCGGCACGCCGAACCTCTCGACCTTACGACGAACTTTACGACTAATAAAAAGCCGCTTTACGACATTTTAACGCGCCGTTACCACTTTTACTAACTACTAACAAGCCTCATTACGATACTGGCAATGGGCACGTTTACGTACTACGATATTGCTCCACGCGCGCGCTCCTCCCGCCGAAACGGCGCTTCTTGCCACCCCTTTTTGCCATTTTCCAAGCGCCGCCGTGTGTAGCTTCAGTTTCACGCATAATGCGCCGCATAGGCTCGAGATAACAGCCTTGCGAAGCAATGTCGTGAAGCAGATCAACAATAACGAAGGAAACACACAGGAAAACAACACGGCGGGCCCAAAAAAAGACCTATAATAAGCAAAGGCGAGGAGCATCATCGATGGAGACCCGATCCGTTTTTATTACCGTTATAGGCACTCGATACCCGCCATCACGGAACGGGTTTCCTTTCGGCAATCGCGCTATCTAGAACAAACACCGAGAGAACCCTCCAACGTTATTTTTTGGGCCGGCGGATCGCTTTCAATTTCTTTTCTGTTTGTCGACTGGAGGCCTGTCAGCTAACCTGACGCGCGATGAGGTCTTTTATTTTTCCCTCGTCGACGCAGCGTCCAAAAATGGAAAAAGCACCAACTATGCCAAAGTGGAACGACGTCGATCAGGGGCAGAGGAAGATGTTTTTTTTTTCTTCGAGAAATGAACGCCTGCACAAACAGAGCGATAACCAAGTTCTCACGATAACTAGGTATAAAAATAAATGCGAGGACAAGAAACTGAAACTAAACTAATACAAATAATAAGAGTGAGATCAAGAAATCAAGAGAATAAAGGCCTTGGTTTTCAAGGTACAGAAAAATCACATAAAATAGGAAGATATATTTTGGCGAACGCAAACAATCTCAATCATCACTTAGATTTATTAAAGTAAAATTTATTTTTAGAATCACGTACGAGATTGAAATTAAATATTTAATTTGTTTTTCTAGTTTATCATGAAACTTTTTATTTGTTTTTTGTTTATTGATTTTGGGTCGATTTTCTTATCTTGAATAAAAATAATACAAGCGAATTCGAATTCGTGCCTGTGATTATATTGCTTGCGATAGAGAACGTTTGACATAGTAATTTTCCAAAACGTTAACATGTAAGACATTTCAAATATCCAATGCAGTGAATACTCAAAACAAGCGCCCTTTTATTAAGAAGCCAAGATTTCATACACTTTCGTAAAGCTTCACGCGCTTCACATGCTGATGATGTGTTTCGTGTTTCATGTTGCCTGCGTTCAATGAGACGATTGGCCGCTTCGAGCAATGTGCTGATTCGAGTCCAAGATGCGCGCAGCAACGCATGAAAACACCAAAACACCTTAATTAACTTCATTACAGAAAATAACAGAATGCGTATTTTCATCATACATTATTATTACCTACTACTTTTCTTCAAGCTAGTTATACTTAATACTTAGATATAGATATGTGTTATTTTGTTACAATATAAAGTTTTTCTATTTTAGAATTTGTAGCCTGGTGGTGTTGGTGGAACGTGGGGCGTTTGCGCGGCGGCGAAACGATTTCGGTGGCTCGTTCCGTTGGTCGTTCGCAGCGTGCGCCAACGACTTCTTATTGACCATAAAACTACCATTGTATTGATTGTAAATGTTTTTCCGCGCATTCGGTGCGCGTTGCTTCACGGCCTGCGCGCAGAACCAGTCCTCATCGGGCTTGCGCCCGGCGAACGATCCGACCCCGCTCGTTTCCAACGCCTGCGTGTCCAACTTCTGCTATTCTTCCATGAGAGGCGCCACTACCCTTAACACTCATCCCATCATCCATGAAAATCTTGAATATAATCTGAAATTCAAACGTTTTAAAAATCTCTAAATCTTTATAAAAATTTCTAGGTTAGTTTATGCTACTTGAACGCAATTTCAACAAATGCCAGCAACACGTGCCCTCCTCACTCAAAAGCCTCAGAGCTTTCACAGTTGCCGTAGTAAAATCGACATTTTACGACTTGTGTATACTAGACGAAAATAAAATGAAAATTTTGAAGAACTCACCGCATAAATTTCCTGTATCTATTTATATCCCCCATTTTGTTTCAATTTTATGTCGGTTACTAGTTTATCCTGGGAGTAGAGAATACCACAGAATCCTCTCAATCTTTTCACCGAGCTCCCTTTTTAAAAAGTCCTAAAAGTAAATGAAGTCATCATTCTTATGAATGTAATGATTATGCGGTCGTAAAACTACAATAAAATATGCCGTAACCAATTGAGTAGTCCGTAATGGTGCGTCGAACCAGTTGGGGCGATGGTTGCAGTTATGGTAGTGCTTGTAATGGCAGTTATGTGACCGACCCCATATCATGTGACGTGCAGGTATCTCCCCGAAGCTCAAGATGGAAGATCTTCTAAAATTCCCATGCATTGTTGCTAAAATTTGTGACTTTTAGCGGCGCTCTTGTGAGTAACTGAAACCAGAACGAAAAAGGGAAGGTAATACATTTTATTGCTACTGTGCGGCAAGCCACACTATGATTTCATGTTGTAAGTGAGATTTTTAGTGCCGTTTTAAGTGATCGTAAATGTCACCCGGTAGTATCAACATGTTCTGCAGTATAAATAACCATAACCCACAAATGTATATTGATCTTGATCATTAAAATTGAACATGGCGCTTGAAATATCAAATTTACTGAATGTGGGTGGTACCCGCTTTGGTCCACTGTCAATTTGATTAGTTATGGCTCTTAACTTCGGTCATTATGTATTCAATTTCTTTAATTGATCATTAAGCTTATTTTTACAACCATCTCAAGTGGTCATAAACGTCACTTAGCATCAACAGTAGTTAAAGCACTGAAAAGCCGCAATAGATGTCAAAATTTTGCTCTGGTAACTTTCTGGTTGCTATAAAATGTTGTAAAATGTCTACCAAATGTCTAGAAAATGTCAAATTCAGCGATGGACTTGAGACTGTTTGCTCGCCGTCATTCCGAATAATTTACGACACATTCAAAACCCGCACATACACAGAAAAGACACATCGAAATCTTTTTACGACCTTGTTAAATGGCAGTTAATAATCCCGACATTATCGTGAGCCGCGCGCGCGCGCTCCAGTCATCCTCGAGCCGGAGCAGTTTTATGCGTATTAAATGAAGTCGTTTCTTTGGCTTTTTATTGGCGTTTTATATTTCATTTTACGATTATTTTATTGTCTTGTTCACTACCTCACTTTATGAGCCGCGGCGCAGGCATTTCGATTCATTTGTGTAAACATTTACAAGACACCTTTAAGACGGGCCGCGGAACGACCTCACGACCGTGTGCCGTGCACGCGGCTTTATTTTTATTGCTGGTTAATTTTATCGCCACATTGTGGAATTCTGCTAATGCGAGCAAACGTCTAAACAATTCAGTTGCAGGGATTCAAGTGATGTGATGAAATCATTTCCATTCGCCAAGGCGGTTTTGCGGCGTTGAATTACAGAAATTTAAGTTCAATGGGCAATTTTGGGCGGGCATATTCCTGCGCGCAGGTTCATAAACGTTTGCGATCGCGATTGTGGGCCCATGATGTTGCTCGTTTGGACGACGACGCTCTTCTGAGGTCTTGGAGTTGGGCGATTGTACCAAAGAGGGCGCTAGACGTGTGCCGCACTCGCAGTAATTCCTGCTGCGGCTCGGAGCGAGTGAGACCACTGCACGGAGTGGGGTGCCCGAATGTGTGTGGAAACGATGTGAAGCGGCACACTTCGGATCTCTCGCGCATAGCTTTTAGTGGGCGCCGTGACGGATCCAATTGCCATTGGTGCGCTCGTTGATCCCCTTCCATAATGTCCCATTGTTACTGTCTCCTTTTTACTGCTCAGCGCTGCTGACCTCGGGTATTCTCCGTTATTCACATGGCAGAATTTTGGAAAAACTGAAAATTCAAATGTTTCAATAATAATTTCTTTGAGATATCTACAAATAGTAAAGAAAAATTGTTGTGGTAGAGGCTTGGTAAGACACCTTTGATTTTTTACGACCCCAATGATGGGTTTACAGCTGCAAGTAGCTGAAGTGTTGTGTTGTCGTTTGTATTGTAGTTTTTACGAGTCAATTCCGAGTTTTACGACTGTTTTCGTTGCGGATCTGTGTGTGCTCTTCACGCGAGCTGCATGGATGGCATAATTGACAATACAGGTAGCAACAGTCACTTCTGTTAATGATCTGACTATTGTTGCCTCGTGCTTGCGACGGTCGTGCGCGTTGTGTTGGTGGGGGTAGTTGGCGTGCGCGGGTCTGTTGGTGCGATAGAGAAGCGCCGCGCTGCCGTGTGGGACGAGGAAGGCAAAGGGGCCGGGATGTGTGTGGGTCGGAGCAGACTCCGGCGAGCCGTGCTCCAGTGGGTCCCGATCCGCGATCCACACTAGTAAAAGCGCGTGCATTCCGGATTGAGCTACCGCGCAGTGCGCTCGGGCACCACGGTTTCGAAATACTCCGTACGACACACACCGCACAGTCGCAGTTCGTGCACGCGAACGAAAACAGCGCGAAGCGAAATTTTCGAATCGCGCTGCGAGACCGCGAAGACATAGTCACTTTTTATTGCCCCCACAACTTTTATTACTATTATTGCGTAACCGCCAACCGTAACAATAATCATTTGATTAAACTATTATCGCCGATGCCGAATATCCAGTAAGATTTGCAAATTTCGCCTGGTCGCGAAAGTTCGGCGTTCAAGAGTTTGCCAAAATACAATCGGCTATTTTGGGAAGTATTAAACGTTTTTGGCAAAGTCGTGAGACCATGTGCTGAGTTTACCCGCGAACTGTCAGTGAGAATGGACATGTGAAAAAAACTTCCGCAAAGTTTTCAAAAAAAATACCTGGTGAAAAGTGCTGTGACCAACTCGAACCAGAACAACAGGACTTACCATCAATTTAGACTTTCGTCTTTACGCGCGCTCAAAGCGATCTTCTCATCGGGTGGCTTCTTGGAAAAGAGCCCCAGTGTTTCCTCGTTGAGCAGTGAACTAATAAAGCCGCCAAAATTAACGCCATAATGAACTCGTATTTTGAACAAGGTGGGTTCTACGGCAGCCACCATCACCAGAGTGCCAGCGCGGTTTCTGGTGCTCACCACCATGACCAGAGCGCGGCGGCGGCATACCGTCCCTTTCCGTTGAGTCTGGGCATGTCGCCGTATGCCTCCTCGCAACATCACCATCACTCCCTGCATCAAGCTCGACCACCACAGGATTCACCTTACGATGCATCGGTAGCAGCCGCCTGCAAACTTTACTCCTCATCGTCATCGGACGGGCAACAAAATTCCAACTACAGCACCTCCAATACCAAACCGGATTGCTCAAAGGGCAATTCCGGCGGTGGCGACCAGAATGGTTACGCTTCGGTGGTAGCGGCGGCAGCCGGAGTAAAAGACGTGTGGCAAAGCGCCAGCTCCGGAGGTGGTGCGAGTCTTACCAACAGCCTCTCAGGACCGGTACGTCCTTCAGCCTGCACGCCCGATTCTCGGGTCGGTGGTTATGGTTCCTCCGTCGGTCTAGTCGGCGGCGATCCCTCATCAAGTCCTGGTGCGGCGGGCGGCGGTCGATCCTCAAACGCGCTCAGCTCATGGAACAATCCCTGCACACTGAACTCGTCCTCATCGCAACCTGTCGGCACCCAGCTTCATCAGCAGTCGAATCACACCTTCTACCCCTGGATGGCTATAGCAGGTGAGTCCTGAAACATTCACGTCATCACGTGTTAAGTAAATTAGAGGCGCTCCGACACGCGGAAAATGTGCGGCACGTGGTGTGATGGTTAAACATTCATTCGATTGCCACCTATGCGGACCCGTGGCGCGCTTTGTATGTAAATAACATCATCGTGCGCTCTCGCTTCATGATTGCCATTGTGTGTGCTCGTGTCCTATGTTTATGCGCGTTATTATTGAAAGCGAGCGAGTCAAGTGCGTGTAAAATCAGGGTTGAATGCGCCCTTATCGTGAGTCTCCATCTCTGCCGGACGCGTTGGCCGCAGGGTAGACTTGTCTCGCTCACACCGTGGCGCGCCGCTCAACACCCGAGCACAACCATCCACGAATTCCGGCCTCCTTCTTTTATGGGCTCCAACCTCACTCGGCTTCTGTCTGTGGGCCACGAGGGTCGATCAGCTGATCGTCCGAATTTGCGCTCTACATAAACACGACCTAATCCTCCAAATAAAAATCTCTGGCAAGTCTATGCGCGAAGGCGTGGAGCGCTATAAATTGTATAAAAAATCACATTAATAAATCATGACGTAATTAGCGGCGATGTTCTCGCGCGCGCGCCGCCGCGAACGACTCGTCCGGCGTTTGTTTATTTTCGGCCAAAAGCACGACCAGTTTTTCGTACGCGAATGCGTGTAGAAAGTGCGTCTTTGTGTGCCTGCTTGTAGTCGTAGTAGTAGTTTCAAAAGTGGCAGCCGACGAGTAACGTAAGCGGCGACGACGGCAATTTATCGCCGTCCAACTGCAGAGGAAACAGAAAGCTAAAATTCAACTCAAAACTTTAAACAAAAAATTTTAATATGCGTTAAACGCGCTTTAAACTCTTCTCATCATCTTATGATAAAATTAAGATTTTGTATTGAGATGTTACGTGACGAGTTACGGATAGTCATCGAACACGTAATCAATCAAGCCACCAACCAACAAGTTGCGGTCGTCACGGTTTATCGACTCGCCAAATTGCCGTCATCCTTTGGATGCGATCAACTTTCAATCTTATGCTGAACTATTTTTGATTAACTCTTCAATGGACTTGACTGAGTTTCTGCGAGGTGGTGCCATCTGCAAACAACTCCATGAACCTTGAATTTTAAGGGGTAACCCCCAGTCATTTCGGGTACCACCACTATTTTTCTTTTGGGGTGCATACCTGGACCACTAGTATTATTAGCACCACCCCTACCTGACAGGGTAAGGTAATCTACCAACATACCATGTGTCCTACTCAGAATAAAATCATCTTTCGAGGTAGCAACATCTCCCAACCATGACGTAAAAATTAGAACGCAGAGAATTCTTGGAAATTCACATCGTAAACATGAAAACAGAAGTACAAATTGTGTAATACTGGCGGATCGTGTAGCACACCTTCAGACTGTTTATGATCCGTCGAGAACGAGGTGGCCGGTTGAAGGAGTCGCTACACTAGTAACAGGTATCTCATAAACGCGGCCGTTAATATTCCATTACTCCGCCTTTATAGCGACATTAAAGATTGCGGTTCGGGCGAATGTGAAATGCACCACACGCGGTAGTTGCAGAACTAATGTCGGACTTATCGCTCGATTATTTTATTATTGCACAATAACAATTTGACGCGTTTCATTCAATTACAAACACATACATTCACTGAATGATAATCTAGAGAATTATTGTTTTGTTGTATTCTGTCATCGTTGAATAACATGTGGGGATCATTACCCAACGCTTATTCTAATTCTATTCTATCTATCTATTCTAATTTTCTTCATCTATATTGCATGCACTCTATAACTTTCTTCATCTATATTGCATGCCATAATTCTTCGTATAAAATTCCCAAAATTCCTAATTACTTTTATTACCCTTGAAAAACCTAATCCCCGAGTCGGACGGTTTGGCACGCTGTATCTAGCGTGCGGTCAGTAGCAGATGGTCCGGCTCGGATTCCCAAAATCCGATGGTCAACTTTCCCCTCTCTTCAGTATCACAGACTTTCTTCTGCAATCAAATCTATCGCTTTCTTCCTACTTCCAGAATTTCTTGTCACCACCCATCAACCTGAAGGGGTTGCTGGTGATGAAGCAAAAGAGGTTTTAAAGAAGGTCAGTTGTCCTACACATTTCTAAGCGGCGCTACAGTTATTCCACACACTTCAAACTCTACAGTTCTGCACTACTTCACTTCTCTTCATACTTCTTAATAAACATTGTTCGTGATAATTAAACATCGTGTCTTTTTACTCCTCATCGAATTATAACGTTGCACTCACTCACCGATCTAAAATTGGTGACCCCGACTGCGTGATCTGAAAAGAACTTTTATTTATTTTATTTGTGCGGATTAATTGTGTTGTGCGAACTCAAGTGTATGATCAACAATCAACGCAATGGCAACTCAGCACAGACCGCGTTGGGTTCATCAGGGCCAGTCGCTATCAACGCAGTGCGATTCGCCTACCGCCCCGGAACGACGACGACATCGCAACATGGTTTGCTCTGAGTACACTCAAGCTGAAAACTTGGTGTCAGGCAAGTTCAAATTCGCCTGCAGTGATGCGCCATCTCTCCCTGCAGATCGCCGGGTAGTATCTCTGAACTGATCCGCCGACCATTGACCGAGGCGGCTCCTGGTATTTCTCAAGACTGACGCTGTCAGCGCGCATAGGTGAGTCAAACGAGCAGAAGAAAATGCGTCGGTTACTCGAGAACGAACCGATTGGAACCAGCGAGTGCCTTCACAGTTTCTTCACCATCTGCATTCGCCCAATTTGCGGAAACGCGGATTACCGAATCTATACTGCAAATGTTATGGATGGGCCGTTTGCCCGATAACATGCGCGACATCTTAACCGCATCAGACGGCTCCTTAAGATAAACTGGCGGGTAGCCGATCGCATCCATAAAGAACCATGCCGCGACACCCGTACCATCAACTTCAGCAGCTAGCGAGCCGGCGTACGTCCATGAAATAGGGACCATGATCTCGATGCGGGCGATCAACTCAGGATTTAACCACAGCCTGGGCAGTAATAAGCGGGAAGTGTAGGCTCCGACAGGTGCCTTCTTCTCCGCGACCATTCGCGATACCCGGTCAGACGCGACGCCGCCATCACGCTACCGCCAACGTAGCCGCTTCCCGGCAACGTAGCCGCTCGGGACGCTCACCCAAGCCAGCAGTCATTCCTACTGCTGGTATCGTACAGGTTTGGCGATAGCAGCGCAACGGTGTATTCCTCCACTGCAATCGTATTACGCGAGTTCGGAAACGCACGGAACGGTCGATAAACGCGGCGATCCGACCGCGTCTTGGCAACTCGCCGCCTATTTGTACGGACAGGGTCGCCAAATATGTATGGTGCCAAAGACAACTGAAGAGTGGAGACCATGTGGCGACTATCGTGCCCTCAACGCGAGGACATTACCTGACCGATACCCAGTACGACATATTCAAGATTTCGCCCACGCGCTGCACGGGAGAACCGTTTTCTCCACGATCGATCTGGTGCGCGCATTCCACCAAATTCCACTCGACGAAGATGCCATCCCGAAGACCTCAATCACCACACCCTTTGGATTGTTTGAGTTTACCGTCATGACGTTTGGTCTCCGCAACGCCGCTCAAACTTTTCAAGCGATTTATCGATGAGGTGCTTCATGGGTTGGACTTCTGCTTCGCGTACATCGACGACATCCTAGTCGCGTCAACGTCCGAGGAAGAGCACCATCAGCACTTGCGCCAGTTGTTCGAGCGGTTGAGCAAGTACGGTGTTGTACTCAATTCTTCCAAGTGTGTGTTCGGGGCAAGCCAGGTCAAATTTCTCGGCTACCTTGTTACGAGCGCAGGAACCAGTCCGCTCCCTGAGGAGGTCGACGCAATCCGCAATTTTCCTCGGCCTTCGCACACAAAGGAACTACGCCAGTACCAAGGGATGATCAACTTCTACCGCAGATTTATTCCTGGCGCGGCGGACACCCAAGCACCTCTTAACTTACGATCTACTCAGGGTAACGTTAAGAGCAGCCAATTGCGTATTGGACCTAGGCAGAGGTTGCGTTTAGCAAATCGGAAGGATAGTCTTGCATAGACGGCCCTGCTGAATTCACGCACATCCAGACGCACCGCTGGCCATCTTCTGCGGCTTTCCGGCCGCCACTTAGGCGCCGTATTACAACAGCGAGAGTCAATGATGGTGGCAACCGCTGGAATTTTTCTCTAGGGGTGAGTCCAGCGGAAACCAGAGTACGGCGCGTACGATCGCGAGCTTCTAGCCATATATTCCGCCGTTAGGCGTTTTCGGCATATGGTAGAAGCACGCGAATTCATCATCTTTACCTACCATAAACCACTCACTTTTGCCTTCACACAAAAGGTGCAGCCATCATCTCCACCCCAGGCACGCCATTTCACCTTCATCGGACAGTTCTCCACCGACATTCGTCACATCGCAGGGCAAGAGAACGTGGTTGCCGATGCGTTATCAAGGGTTGAGGAGATAACGGAAACAATCAACTACGAGAGCCTCGCCGAGGCTCAGCGCACAGACATCGAGCTACAGCAATTGGAGTCGTCCAACGACACTGGACTCCAATTAAAACTAATTGGTATTCCCGGAACAACAACATCTTTGGTATGTGACGTATCCAACAGAATAGCCCGTCCGTACCTGACACCATCATTCCGACGCATGGCATTCGACACCATCCACAACTTGTCGCACCCTGGCGTTAAGGCTACTACAAAAGCGGTAACAGCACGATTCGTTTGGCTAAGCGTCAAAGCCGATTGTTGCCAGTGGGCACGAGAGTGTCTAAGATGTCAGCAATCAAGGTCAGACGTAATGGCTCACCAGTCAGCGTTCAAGGTCCCAGCAGGCAGGTTCGAACACCTACATATCGACATTGTAATTCTGCCGTACTCGAATGGTTTTCGATATTGTCGACCATCATCGACCGATTCTCGCGCTGGCCGGGAAGAGCGATT